ATTGTAGCACAATTCAGAGCCCTTGGGATTGGAAATAATACCCGAGAGAACGCTGAGGCAAAACAAGTGTCAGTTTGCCTATACTTCCAGTTTTGACACAGTACAATTTTGGCAGATCAGCCAAAGAACATACAATTCATAAATACAGATCACCTAAACAGAACAACAGGAAGAAGATGTGATTCTGAATGAGGAATGTAAAGATTAGACAGACGGGAGAACTCCACAATGGCCCCTTACTCACATTACACCACCACAGGATCTTAATCATGCACGACAGGAATAATTTTCTGCTAAAAGAAGATATATGGCACATTCCCAAATTCTCCTAACTGCAGAGTACTACTCCTGTTGTTGTTGTTGTTGTTGTTTAGTCGTTAAGTCGTATCCAACTCTTTGTGACCCCATGGACCAGAGCAAGCCAGGCCCTCCTGTCTTCCACTGCCTCCCGGAGTTTGGTCAGTCATGTTGGTAGCTTCGATGACACTGTCCAACTATCTCCTCCTCTGTCGTCCCCTTCTCTTCTTGCCTTCACACTTTCCCAACATCAGGGTCTTTTCCAGGGTGTCTTCTTTTCTCATGAGACGGCCAAAGTATTGGAGCCTCAGCTTCAGGATCTGTCCTTCCAGTGACTCAGGGTTGGTTTCCTTCAAAATTGATAGGTTTGCTTTCTTTGCAGTCCAGGGGACTCTCAAGAGCCTCCTCCAGCACCACAATTCAAAAGCATAAATTCTTCGGCGGTCAGCCTTCTTTATGGTCCAGCTCTCACTTCTATACATTGCTACTGGAAAAACCATAGCATGACTATGCGGAATTCTGTTGGCAAGGTGAAGTCTCTGCTTTTTAAGATGCTGTCTAGGTTTCTCATCACTTTCCTCCCAAGAAGCAGGCATTTTTTAATTTTGTGGCTGCTGTCACCATCTGCAGTGATCATGGAGCCCAAGAAAGTAAAATCTGTCACTGCCTTCATATCTTCCCCTTCTATTTGCCAGGAGGTGATGGGACCAGTGGCCGTGATCTTACTTTTTTTGATGTTGAGTTTCAGACCATTTTTGGCGCTCTCCTCTTTCACCCTCATTAAGAGGTTCTTTAATTCCTTCTCAGTTGCTGCCATCAGAGTGGTATCATCTGCATATCGGAGGTTGCTGATATTTCTTCCGGCAATCTTAATTCCAGCTTGGGATCCAGCCAGTCCTGCCTTTCGCATGATGTATTCTGCATAAAAGTTAAAGAAGCAGGGAGACAATATACAGCCTTGTCGTACTCCTTTCCCAATTTTGAACCAATCAGTTGTTCCATATCCAGTTCTAACTGTTGCTTCCTGTTCCATATATAGATTTCTCAGGAAATAGATCAAGTGGTCAGGCACTCCCATTTCTTTAAGAACTTGCCATAGTTTGTTGTGGTCGACAAAGTCAAAGGCTTTTGTATAGTCAATGAAGCAGAAGTAGATGTTTTTCTGGAACTCTCTGGCTTTCTCTATAATCCAGCACATGTTAGCAACTTGGTCTCTAGTTCCTCTGCCACTTCAAAATCCAGCTTGTACTTCTGGGAGTTCTTGGTCCACATACTGCTGAAGCCTACCTTGCAGGATTTTGTGTTTAACCTTGCTAGTATGTGAAATGAGTGCAATTGTACGGTAGTTGGAGCATTCTTTGGCACTGCCCTTCTTGTTGACTGATCTTTTCCAGTCCTCTGGCCACTGCTGAGTTTTCCAAACTTCCTGGCATATTGGGTGTAGCACTTTAACAATGTCATATTTTAAATAGTTCAACTGGAATGCCATCACTTCCACTGGCCTTGTTAGCCATGTTTTCTAAGGCCCACTTGACTTCACTCTTCAGGATGTCTGGCTCAAGGTCAGCAGCCACACTATCTGGGTTGTCCGGGACATCCAGATCTTTCTGGTATAATTCCTCTGTGTATTCTTGCCACCTCTTCTTGATGTCCTCTGCTTCTGTGAGGTCCGCACCATTTTTGTCCTTTATCATGTCCATCTTTGCACAAAATGTTCCTTTAATAGCTCCAATTTTCTTGAACAGATCTCTGGTTTTTCCTTTCTATTATTTTCCTCTATTTCTTTGCACTGTTCGTTTAAGAAGGCCCTCGTGTCTCTCCTTGCTATTCTTTGGAAGTCTGCATTCAATTTTCTGTAACTTTCCCTATCTCCCCTGCATTTTGTTTCCCTTCTCCTCTCTGCTATTTGTAAGGCTTCCTTAGACAGCCACTTTGCTTTCTTGCATTTCCTTTTCTTTGGGATGGTTTTTGTTGCTGCTTCCTGTACAATGTTACGAGCCTCCATCCGTAGTTCTTAAGGCACTCTGTCCACCAAATCTAGTTCCTTAAATCTGTTCTTCACTTCCACTGTGTATTCATAAGGGATTTGGTTTAGATTATACCTGACTAGCCCAATGGTTTTTCCTACTTTCTTCAGTTTAAGCTTAAGTTTTGCTATAAGAAGCTGAAGATCAGAGCCACAATCAGCTCCAGGTCTTGTTTTTGCTGACTGTATAGAGCTTCTCCATCTTTCGCTGGAGAGAACATAATCAATCTGATTTCGGTATTGCCCATCTGGTGATGTCCATGTGTAGAGCCTATCTCTTGTGTTGTTGGAAAAGAATGTTTGTGATGACCAGCTTGTTCTCTTGACAAAACTCTATTAGCCTTTGCCCTGCTTCATTTTGAACTCCAAGACCAAACATACATGTATTTTGAATGCCTTTCTTTTGAATGTCTCCAGCAAAAATAAAACTGAAAGTCAAAACGTCTGGCCTCTTAAGGAGCCAAGTTATTCGGTTGAAATTGGGAGCAGAGAATCTTCATAGTCTCCAGCATGGGACTACTCTACATTCTCCTGCAGAGCTATATATCTATGTGCTCTTCTCGCGAGAAGAGGCTGTTCGAGTGGAAGAGTGGCTTTTTAAAGCCCTGCTTATCTGGCTAATCACCAGGTCCCTAACAAGTTTTTCTTGCAGCTAGCATAATACTAAAAACTCTGGATAGTTAGGGAACTGAAACATGTTAGAGACTTGCTGCTCCCTTAGTTGGTAGATGTATCAAAGAGAATAAGGCTGCTTGTTCGAATTCCCCAAATAACAGAACTTGGACATCATGCTGCTAGTACCAAGTTTGGATGCAGTTCAAAATAAGGATTTTTTTTTTTACATTCAAAGCAGACTCCAGTATTTTTTGTTCCTACACTTTTTTCCCTATTATCTTTTTCTACTTTTCTCATTTTGCCACTTTTTCCTAGAATAAGACTAGCTCATCTTGATTGAGAAGATGAAAAACAAATGTGCTAGTACAGGGGCTGATGAAAAAACAAAGACTCCAAACAAAACATATAAAATGCAACTTAGATCAAAATTTTCATATATCCTTATGTTAAGAAATCTAGTGTCATCCTTGGATAAGTCTTTCCAAGGAGTTTTCAAATCCTTCTTATAAGTCCACACAATTCTTTTTATCTCTTCAAATAAAAACTGCCATTTTCAAAACACTATCAGAACATTTCCGTCCTCCCCACGAATCCTGTAACAAAATCCCCTCTTATATGTACTCATCAGTTATTTCCAATGAAACTTATCATCAAGAGAAATTAACACAAAGGAATCTCACCAGAAGAATCATCACAGAATTAAATTGTGTGTCTGAAGGAACAGCCCTTTGACAAAAATCAAAATGACTTTAAAACAAATAAAACAGAAGACATAACACTAATATGAGCCCGCTTCCTTTTGAAACAACACAACATAGTATCAAAAATGCAGGAGGTGGTCATAACTTGTGTTTGGAAGTAGTACAGATATGACTGTTTACTGCAGCTCCGCCTACCTTCATGAAATACTTGTACCATGACAACCTAGCTCCCAATCACCAAGCAGTAGTTAGTCTTGCCCACACCACATCATGCTGCAATTTCAGGAATGTTCTGCTCCCTCTCATTTGCTTTTTAAAGACACTCTTGATACTATCAAAGACTTATTCAACATTTGAATTTGCTAATAAAAGTAATTTGGAAAATATCTGAAGAGAGCTTTATCTGTTTACATAATTATGTAAGAAAGACTAAAAGGAAACTTCTTCCACTAAGAATTATTGTTACAAATTTGTTCCTTTAACATATCACTACTTACCTAACACTACTGAGACAATATTTTGTTTCATATGTAGTGAAAAGCTAATGGAGTTCAGTAAAACTTTAACCACAGCTAGGCTTGTCTTAACAAGGCGGAATCATTATTTTAGATTTTTTTATCACAAATGTCTCCAGTCGCTGAGTGTAGACATTAAATAATGCAACTTCCGCCCTTCCAGTGTCTGCAGTCTTGACATTCAACCCACCCTGAAGCCCCTCCATAGTCAAGGTAAGACTAATCCACACGGGGCGACTTACAAAGCCAGTGGCTGCTTCTTGGAAACACCGCAACATCCAAAGTATGTAGCTATTAAGATGCAAATTATTTCCTTCAGTGCAACCTTGCCCCTGACTTTAAAACAGGAAGATGCAGAAAGAATGGAGGTGGCAGATTCAGAAAGTCATCCACAGAGCATCAGAGCAAAGCATCCTTCATTCCCCATAATGTAAAGCACAGTCGGCCTGCTCTTGGAAAAACCAGGGAAATCTGGAAAGGCAGCCTGGTGCTTCCTGCACGAGAGGAGGAGGTGAAGAGGGCTTTTTGGCCCCCGAAGTGAAATGAACCACCGGCAACCCAGCAGGCAGGATGCGAATTTCCCCTCCCTGTGGTTCCTCTCGTTCTCTTCAGGGAGCACCAGGCCACGTCCCACCCACCCCAACCAACGCCTCCTTCCCATTAACAAGCTCTTCTCCTTCCCGAGCGGGAAAAAAGAAAGGGCCGCCGGGTCCCTTCTGCCCACCGCCCTGACAATGGAGGTTCAGGAGGCCAGAGCCCCCAGAGCAGCGGAGGGAGGAGAGGCAGGAGCCCGTCCCTTTCGCAGCCCAAGCCTCCGCGGCATCGGCCGCCGCTTCCCGCACTCACCCTCGGTCACCTCCAGCACCTTCACCTGCTCCTCGGCGGCAGCGCGCACCCCCTGCACCGGGCACAGGATCCCGTTCAGGGTCTCCACCAGCGCCTCCTTCAGCCCCTGAGCCACGGGCCCGGGAACCCCGCCTGCCGCCGCCGCCGCCATGCCGCTGGTGCTTTCCAGGCAGCGCCGCCTTGCCCGGGAAGGAGAAGTCCTGTGCAAGCGAGCGCCCACAAGCAAAGAGAGGGGGGAAAGGCGGCACCAGCAGGCCGAGGGCCGGGGCTGCTCAGCCGCCACCGCGCGCCAAACGCGCCCACAACGACACGTCCGCGCTCGAGAGAGCGGCGCCTCCGAAGAGCCAGAGCGCCGCTGTTTGGCTGACGCGCCCCCTAGGGATCATCCGTGAAACTTCACCATGCGCCTTGTAACGAAATAAGGTCTCCTGGCCGAATGGCAAGAGAAAACCGGTTTACAGCGCAGAGGAGGACTGTCGTCTTTTCGGCTACAAGATGCGGATTCCACGGGCGGCTTATTGTTCTGGGTGGGCGGGGAAAGGTGGGCCTCAGTGTCTTCAAATGCCTTACTAATCAGTCCGATCGTGTGCAAGCTTACTCAGAAGTAAACAGCGCTGGGCAGGAGGGATCACTTCTAATTACATACACGTGCTTAGGGTTGCGCTCATCATTAGAAAGGGACACATGCAAGGCTTCCTTCCTTCCTTCCTAGGAGGCGCTCCGAAGATACACCGATGGCTCTAGCCTCAGGGCAAATGGCCCTCTCGTCTATCATCCTTCTCTTCTCAGTGTCCAACCAGAAGCCCGCAAGCTGGATATGGGAGGAGCGCCTTCCCGTTCGTGGACCTCAGCAATCGGTTATTGGGAGCCTGTTCCAACCGGGAGCGGAAGTCGTGCCTCGCGGTTGTTACGGGTAACCAAAGAGAGCTGCGGCTGGTTGGCCACGACTTTGGCAGAGGTTCTCTTTGAAAGCGGTTTGGGGGCGAGAGGTATTGGGTTGCTCGAGATAGGGAGCGCCATTTTGTCATGGTAGTTTGGAAACAGTTGAGAAATACTTGGTATAGGTTGGCTGCACTTCGATTCCTGCATGGTGCGGCGGCTTCGAATGAAAAAAGAGCCCTCTCCCCCCCCCCGTGCATAAATGTATAAATTTCTACCACATCCATCTTGATTTCTTCTTTGCCTGCAAGCCGGGAAACATAGGGGATTCCTTATATGAGGGCACTTTTAACAAAGCAAAAGAAGACATTGTGGCACTTTAAAGACTAACTGCTATATTGTAATTTAAGCTTTGGTGGAACCCTGCCTACTTCTTCAGACATGTGAGGAGAATAGAGAGGCTATGTGGCAAAACATTCACTAAGTAAGTGATAGTGGTGTTTGGTTGCATTTCACACCTTGTAACGATTTAAGACTGCTGTTGGTTTTCATTTCACAATACACAAAAAGCTGTCTCCAAATCACTTCAATCTGCCCCGACACCCTTCTTCATAGGATGTGAAAGTTGCTATTCTGGAGAAGAAACAAGAATCCAGAGGGAAACAGCTGAGATAAAATGTATACACGAGCAGGAAACCCGTAACAATAGATTAAGTATCAGTCAATGTTAAGTTATTACCAAACGTAATAATTATGCTGTTACCTACTGTTATTTTCCTTCAAACTACAGTACCAGGCACATCTTTTCAGAGCAAGGCTCAAAGGTAAAGTTCACCATTCTTTAATTACATTTTGCTGTTGCTCTGTTGTTTCCTTTAATCATGTTACTGTTTACAGAACCTAGCTTCGTGAATACGAAACAGAGATAATACATCATTGTGAGGGGTACAGTGCAATCAAACACCACTGTCTCTTAGTTAATGTTTTGTCATATGCCCTCTGTATTCTATTCATGTGTCTGAAGCAGAGGGCAATTTTCCATGAAAGATTATATTAAAATATTGCAGTTATTCTTTAAAGTGCCACAATGTCTTTTTTTTTTTTGCTTTTGTTTTGTGCTTCTTGTTGAGATGCTTGCAAACTAACACAACTACATATCTGAAAACTACTTATATAAAATTGGTACCAACATGCTGAGACACATTAATAGGGCTATTCTTTGGAAAAGAGACGTTTTGCTTGCCCTTTACTCTTATTTGTTCCAGTAATGTGAAATCAGTTTCAAGATTTGGCGACCAGAATGATGCAAGATATTCCCAAAATGTGGTTGTACAATAGATTTGTACAAGATACTGTTATGGGACAATTTTAGTTCTGATTCATTTGCTACTGTTCTCTCATATGGAACGGTCACTTTTCATAGGAGGGTTGGCATGTATGTTGAGCAGTCTTACTGCAAAGCCAAGATCCCTTTCTTGATCATTATCAACTCAGACCCATGACTGTGAACTTAGGATTTCTGTCCAAATATGCACCACTTTTATATGTGGTGATATCAAACTGTGTGTGCCCCCACTGTTATCCTGCAGCAGCAACATGCTTTCTCATTTAAAAAGCATGGTCACATTATAACTTATGGTGCTACAACGGACTGGTAGAGATTGTCATCCGAAGGCTAAAATGCAGTTGTGGAATGCTTTCAATTATTATGTAGCACACAATGTGAATTTTCTGCAAATTCCCTGCCCCACTAGACCCTATTGTTATCATGGCAGATGATTGCATCAGTTAGGATTTGAATAGTCAGCATTGTTGTACAGGCTTCTTATTGAACCAACATATTGAAGTGAGGTGGCTTTTTAAGCTATTGCCAAATACATCAGTGTCGATCTGATGAATAGGCAGTGATGATATATGTAGCATGTGGGTGATGGTGCTTTAGTAATTAACTGAATCAACTCATGTTGTTTCTAGCTTATTCCCACTATTGTAAAACAACTTCTGAACCAGCTTCGTTGTAGAACAACTTTCAGAAAAGAACACACCATTGTATAGATTGGCAAACAAATCCCAACAAATTTGATCATCACAAACATTCTCCGCTTAGTAACCTTTCCTAAAATAGTCACCAACCCAAGGTAAAGTTTAAAATAAGGCCTGGCAAAATTAAATTCTGTACTTCTGACTAAGCTTTCTCTCCTGCAACTCTCACTCATCTTAGGCAGACTTCCCTTTCCTGAAAATGTGCATGTTTCTTAAAACGGAGTTGCTGACTAAAAAATCCTTTGTAGATTGAGATGTTAGTTGATGTGGAACAGCAAAATACATGTTTTTTTCCCCCAAAGGCTTGAGTAGTCTAAAAAGTTTTTTAACCATTAATACTGAAAAATCTGTATTCAAATAATGACTTTTATTAGCTTGGTGTGCACAGAATTTTTGGAAGCAGCACATCTATGGGCATACCTGGATGTAACAGGATTCATATAACAAAGTTCCTGATCTGAACTCTTTACCCCCATTATGGACTGAAACTTGAATAATGCCACCTGTAGCTGCTATTGACCTGGTGGTGGTAGTGGTTTGTCCTTGGATCAAATGTGTTCTAAGGTTCCTATAAAGAGAAAATCTGGTTCTCAGTAGCGATCTCACTGTGAAGATTGTCCAGCAGGAAAGAAGACGCACACACAAAGAAAATCAGTCTAATCCACCCACTTGGTAGATCAATCATTGTAAAAAAATTAACAGAACCTTTAACGTAACTCGAAACATCCACCCTGCCAAGATTCACGAAGCTCCCTAAGTTATGGTTTTAGGTATTAAGGCCAAAAGCTGTCTAGAAAGGTCTTCAGCTGGACTACCCCCAGTCCTTTGAGAACAGGCTAGTGCTATTTTTTTTAAAAAAAATCTCTATTCAAGTTTGATTTTTAAGGTGTTATGAATTGATCTTGGAGTTGTTATTTTTGTAACAGCAGTATGTTCTGAGGGTTGTTCCATCTATTTTACAGATTGGGATTTGCTGTGTATTTTCTTGTGAACCGTCTCAAGTTTCTTTTTTGGAGAAAAGATTCAAAAAGTAACTAAACGTTTAAACTAAGCTAGTATCCTAGAAAGATCAGTCCTAGAAATCCTGCTCTGGATGTCTGAAAGAGCCTGTGTTGCTGTAAAATAATGACCGAACACAGTAATACAGAAAAAAGCAAAAATATATTTAAAATTCAACACTATGGCCGAAATCCTATTTAAGAAAATCATGCATTGTTAAGGTCAATCAGTCAGGTGGTTTCCCCTTTTATCTTGCTGTTGTGCTGCTGAGTGTGTGATTGTTTCCTTCACTAAAGCATGTAGGGGGAACATGATGGGTAGTCATCTTCAAAAGTAGGAATGCTGTGCAGTGGCTCAGTTACACTATAATATTCTGATAGAATTCTGGCCTATATGAGAAAAAATGTGCATTCTATGTATCTTATCATCAACAGTCAGAACAGCTCTGTGTTTCAGCACCAGAAAAAAGTGCCTATATTGGATCAAAATTGCAGAAAGAGCTTCATATACATATTAAGCATAAGAGCATCATGGCATAGTGGTTAAACTGCAGTACTTCAGTGAAGATTCTGTTCACAACCTGAGTTTGATTGTGGACTCAAGTAGCTGGCTCGAAGTGGATTCAACCTTCTATTCTACTGAGGTCATTAAACTGAGTACAAAACTTCTGGGGAGAAGGAATGTGTAGCCTGCATAATTGCTAGAGTGAACCAGTCTGTCCCCATAGCATCTGTACCTGCATCTTTTTGAACCCAAGAGCAGGTGTTTTTCTTTTTGGTACAGGTAGGTATATTTATTTATTTATTTATTGGATTTTTACCCCGCCCCTCTAGACCATGTATACAGTTTGGTCTGTTTCCAGCATGTGCAATCACTGGGGAATAGGCCAAAGCTGCCAAGGCTCCTTCTGCTGCCAATTTCCAGTATCATGAAGTAGCTTAATAAGCCAGCCACTTCATAATACTGACAAATTGAATACTTTGCTGCAGAAGGGCAGTGGAAGTTAAATTAATTGTTTTGCCTCTGCTAGACCCTCACTGATGGGCCAAATCACTTATATTAAATGTTTAAAAATACTTTACATTTATGTGAAGTGCATATTGAAACCGTGGTTGCATAAGAACTGTCGAAACAGAGGCAGTTGTTCACCTTGCTTCCAAGTATTGTTTATATAAACAAAGACAGATCTTTATTAAAACATACCAATTTGTAATAACCCATCTGCTCACACGTGTGGCTTAAGGAGAAAAATAAAGGAACCACCAAGTTTGCGAAGTTTCTTTGCCCCATTGCCAGGTGGGAAATCTTACTTGCCACAAGTGATGAAGAAGATATTTTTTAAAGCAGATCATAGTTTCCTGGAATTAGAGAGAGCTTACTCTGAATGGCATTAATGTTTTTTTAAAAAGTAATGTGTACAACCTTGCATAATAAAACTGATTG